AAAACACAGATCAGAGCGAGAGAAGGAGTGAGAGGAGTCAATTAGCAAACAGCTTGTAACAAAAAATGGACGACTTTACAGCTCTGTACATTTCTTACGTGCTCTACGCTTTACTTTGGTTCAAATACGATGCACGCCATCCCTCTAGTGTATGGTGATAGCTGAAGGCAGACGTCAACACGACTCGTAATGCTACATATTTCTGCAGTTTGACTTCCTGGTTGAACCTCGGCACAGGAACTGTGGAGCATGCTCAGAACGCCTCTTCCAGTCGTAGTTTAACTGAGGTGTATACGTGCAAGAGTATCTCTGCCGTCACGTGATTTTATGAGCACAGATTTGAACATTAAATCACGTCTGCTTATCTCCTCAGCCTCTCTGTCATTTCTCCAAAAAAAAAAAAAAAAAAAAAACACCCCACACCCCCCGACCAGCCTTTCAGACTCCGCTCTGTTTAGACTAGCCTGGACTGTATGTATGACACACCACAGTCCTGATGAATTGGGTCCAGACGTTCCAGACGTGCATTAAGCCGACCTGCTGCTCAGACGTTTTTAGGGCTGCAGCTGATTCAGCCATCGAGTGTCCTGCAGATTATTCAGGGATTAATCGAGTTAAACACTTTCAAAGAATATTGTGGATAGAAAAATCAGAGATGCCACCACATGGATGTAGCCCTGATGCTAACTTCTCTCTGCTGGGTGAACGAGTGAGAGCTGCTGCTAAGTGAGTGAGAGAGAGAGAGAGAGAGAGAGAAGGTTTTGCGTCCTGCATGTTCGACCTGCATGCTGTAGCTCTAACTGGCTGTAACAGAGCTACAATTACCCAGTCCTGTTTATCAGCTTTCCTTGTAACAAGCAGTTAAATAGGTTTGTGTTTAAGGCTAACAGTAGCATTAGCTTAGCTCGTGTCGGGTCTGCTGCCTGAACTAAACGCAAAGGAAGCTTTCTGATGAGATGCTAAAGCGGTTGATCGCGCTTCATGGACGGCATGTTTGTTTTTTTTTAAAGCCGACAGCTCAAAGTTTTTAAGTCATGATTCACTTTGAAACGATTGAAGACTTCTGATACTTTCTGCTGATGCGCTAACTGCTTGCTAGTAAGTTATGGTGCGATGCAATACGATATGCTTTACTGTCTTTGCAGGGTAATTTGTCTTAGATGCTGCATACATTTAGCTGCGTCCTCTGTGCTGTTAAATATCCCATATTCTCCTCATTTACCAAGTTCCCCCCGGGATTAATTAATTCCAGCTCTCTGGAAGCCTTCAGGTGGGTGCAGAACGCTGCAGGACTGCCAGGGAGGGCTGCTCTCCAGTACTGGGAGAAGAGAGTCTATGTAAGAGGTTTCAGCGTCTCATGTAGAGGCTTGAAGCCGTCTGGGGAAGTTCTTGGTTTCATATCAGGGAACTTTGTTGTGATTTACAGAACAAACCGTTTAGTGCCCTCTGCAGACTCATCCTAGGATTACTCCAACATACGTCTACCTCATGATCTGAAGCTTTGTCCACGTTTAGCATGGGCATCCAGCATTGTAACACTATACTGTAAGGCAGTTTTAAAATGGAGATCTGCATCATATGTGGACTTCAAATCAATAAAAATAAACAAAAAACGTCAAACAATCAGAAATCAAGATTGATCAACAAACAATATCTTGTTTCTCTCTCACAGCGTGTCCTGTTTCTCCTCGTCTGCTTCTCTCTCTCCAACACTCTCCATGCTGATCTCCACCAGGTCGACCTCCGTGTCAAAACCCAGAGAGGGATCTGTTAGCATGCTCAGAACACCTCGGGTCAGTTTGGGTTTGAAGCTGATCATCCCCCGATCAAGTTATGTAAATCTTAATATTCAACTTTATATGTTTTCAGTCAGACCAACATGTTTTTTAAAAGCATTCCTCTAGCCGCACTAACACATAAATCCACTCCATGACATCATGTATTAGTCCTGAGTGTCATGTAGCAGCGTGTCCCTGTGTGAGCTTTGTTCTCAGGGTCTCAGACCGCAGAGCGATCAACAACCGACAGACATCACATGAAACAGAACCAAAAGTATCGCTCCAATGTTTCCATCCCACCTGCTCATATCTACATCCATACCTCCATCTCACCACATGAGTGTGTTTGGGGGGGGGGGGGGGGGTTAAGAGGGGGGAAATCACAGGACTCTAAAGACAGCTGCAGCTTATAAGGAATGTGAGGGGCCTCAGCCAAGAGAACAGGCAGGGAAACCAGACCATATAAGGTAACAGAGGCCGAATCTAATTTTTATCAATGAGCAGAGCGGGCAAGAAGAGCGGCTTAACATGCAGAGGTCGGTCCGTCTCCACGGAGCAGAGTTAGTGTGTGCACTTTGTGACAACAGCAAACAGGACACAAGTGTTTGCTGCACAGAGGCTGCGCACACGGAGGACGCCGTCTCAGCTCCCTTGATCGCGCAAAATGTGTGGACAGTGAAGCGTGTGTGTCGTTGAGTTCATCGCTTCACTTCCAAACGTCAAAGAGCAGAAGTTTAAGAACGTTAGCAGCAAAGTGACGAAGCAGAAGCATCTCATCGGGGTCATGAAAGGGTCAAACGGAAAGTGATTTCATCTTCTATCGCTTTTTAACACATCACGCCAAACGAGGGCCATCATGAGACAACACTTCTAAACCCTGATATGATATTAAAGACCGTCTCAACACCATGGCAACACAAACCAAAGTCCTTGGCACAAAAAAAAAAAGTTTCATTGCTTTTTTTAACGATCACAAAATGCAGATAGACTCCTGCACACTGCAGCTCAGTGTTTGATGGATTCATTCCTCTCCTGTGAAATTATTGGGATTTCATAATCTTCTACGGATTATTAAAATAACAGATATTTTGTTGTTTTAAAACATTGAGCAGTGAAGCACTGAACACTGGACCTGTTCTGTGAGAGTTCAGAGAAACGTGCGTGATTGTCCGATGTTTTCAGAGACGTCCGCTGTGTTGAACTATCTCAGTGTTTCATCCATCCCATAATCAAAGATAAACACCTTCCTATAGCCGGCTGCATGTTTCTCACCCTAACACAACCCAGACCTGCCGTGATTTATCAGTCCCAGGGTTACCAGGCTTTCCTGGATGAGAGGTCAGAGAGGTGAAGTGCAGACAGAGATAATACTCTCGGCCCTTTGAAGGACTACGCAGACGTTTTTCTGCTTTAATTAAAACATGACCACAGGCTCAAAGCCGACGCCTCACATACAGCAGGCTAAAGTTCACTACTCTGTTTACAATAGGAGAGATTATTTTCCACAACTGCTCGTGGATTTCATCTTTTGCGCTCCTTCTCTCCTCAAGCCTTTTTTGGAGACATTTCCTGCAACATTTATCCATGAGCAGAGGAACGAAGAAACAAAGAAAATATACTGATCGTCTGCACTGACCTTTCACCTTTGACCCTGACATTTTTATAGTCACCTCATAGGGATGGGAGCTATGACATCATTTTTCTATTCTTTTTTTCCCCGCTGTGTTTAGTGGAAAATACGTCTCTGTTGGACAACATTTCATGTCTGTTGGACTACATTTTAGGTCTCTGTTGGACTATATTTCAGGTCTCTGTTGGACTACATTTTAGGTCTCTGTTGGACTACATTTCATGTCTCTGTTGGACTATATTTCAGGTCTCTGTTGGACTACATTTTAGGTCTCTGTTGGACAACATTTCACGTCTCTGTTGGACTACATTTTAGGTCTCTGTTGGACTATATTTCAGGTCTCTGTTGGACAACATTTCAGGTCTCTGTTGGACTACATTTCATGTGTCTGTTGGACTAGGTCTCTGTTGGACTACATTTCAGGTCTCTGTTGGACTACATTTCAGGTCTCTGTTGGACAACATTTCATGTCTCTGTTGGACTATATTTCAGGTCTCTGTTGGACAACATTTCAGGTCTCTGTTGGACTACATTTCATGTCTCTGTTTACAATAGGAGAGATTATTTTCCACAACTGCTCGTGGATTTCATCTTTTGCGCTCCTTCTCTCCTCAAGCCTTTTTTGGAGACATTTCCTGCAACATTTATCCATGAGCAGAGGAACGAAGAAACAAAGAAAATATACTGATCGTCTGCACTGACCTTTCACTTTGACCCTGACATTTTTACACCAATATTCTAATTTGAACACCTCATAGGGATGGAGCTATGACATCATTTTTCTATTCTTTTTTTCCCCGCTGTGTTAGTGGAAAATACGTCTCTGTTGGACAACATTTCATGTCTGTTGGACTACATTTTAGGTCTCTGTTGGACTATATTTCAGTCTCTGTTGGACTACATTTTAGGTCTCTGTTGGACTACATTTCATGTCTCTGTTGGACTATATTTCAGGTCTCTGTTGGACTACATTTTAGGTCTCTGTTGGACTACATTTAGGTCTCTGTTGGACAACATTTCAGTCTCTGTTGGACTACATTTAGGTCTCTGTTGACAACATTTCATGTCTCTGTTGGACAACATTTCAGGTCTCTGTTGGACTACATTTCATGTGTCTGTTGGACTACATTTCATGTCTCTGTTGGACTACATTTCAGGTCTCTGTTGGACTACATTTCAGGTCTCTGTTGGACTATATTTCAGGTCTCTGTTGGACTACATTTCAGGTCTCTGTTGGACTACATTTCAGGTCTCTGTTGGACTATATTTCAGGTCTCTGTTGGACTACATTTCAGGTCTCTGTTGGACTACATTTCATGTCTCTGTTGGACTACATTTCAGGTCTCTGTTGGACTACATTTCAGGTCTCTGTTGGACTACATTTCAGGTCTCTGTTGGACTACATTTCAGGTCTCTGTTGGACTACATTTCAGGTCTCTGTTGGACTACATTTCAGGTCTGTGTAGGACTACAGGTAGGGAACAAACAAGTGCATTCAGCTGCAGCCTCATGAAGTTCTTCTCAATGTGAGGTAGTGTTTTGCGTGTCCACCTCTTTAAAGGACTGATGTATAAGAAGTCTTTGATTCTCACCTTTGTGTCGCCCATGCTCTCCGACTCAGACACCTGGTAGGTGAGGTCCGTCTCCTCGAAGCCGGTGGCACTCATGCGCTGGTCCATGGAGGGGTCAGAGCGGGGGGGCGAGTCAGGCGAGTTGAGGCACGTTTGGATCAGAGCTTTTCCTGTTTCGCTCGTGATCATGGGTTGGAGTTTGCGGGTGGCAAAAGTGTAGACGTGACCCGTTTCACTCGCCACAAGCAGCAGAACCTGCGTCCCCGTCAGGGTGGAGAGTTCATACGCCTGGAAAGAGACGAAGAGGAATCAAGACGTGCTGCAACATGAGATCATTCTGGTTATCATCAATCTGATGTATCAATTTAAACCAATTGTCCACAGAGTCGTTTCATTGTTTAGTCTATAAAATGTCTTCACACCTATAGATTGTTTGCTCTGGTCTGAATATTGGACCAGTTTGTTGCAAATTACCTCATGTCTGGGGACATTTACAGGAGGACCTAAATGTGTGATGCACCAGGAAAATCCTCTCTGATTGGTCAGAAGTAAACAAAGACGAGCTGCCTCCTGATTGGCTGTGGCTGCTCCAAAGACTCTTTACAGTTTCTAACTGGACAGACTCTACTCATCACTTTTTATATTGTTTGTATTTATCACTGAAGGTAAACGATGCAGTTAGAAAATAATATGTTGATGTTCTGGAGTCTCTGAAGACCATTATAAAAGACAATTCAGGAGAAGGACCACGATAATCCCCCTGAACCAGGACCACGTTAGTCTTCCTCAACCAGGACCACGATAATCCTCCTGAACCAGGACCACGTTAGTCCTCCGGAACCAGGACCACGTTAGTCCTCCTGAATCAGGACCTGCTCTTCAACCCAAACTGTCCCTGAAACTCCGTCAGGTCTGCCTGTGGTCTTTAATGTTCAGTGATGATGAACAGAGAGGGTCTACGCTGGTTACTTCCTGCAGTGAGGTCAGTGCGAGGTCACTTCATGTTCTTCTACTACAAACAGAAAGCAGACAGAGACCCTCCTTTTCCAGCAGTCTCTGTGCGGTTGTTTGGTCCCACACCAGGGTTTGATTGACAGCTTTCCAAACTGAACTAACATGGCGAGGTGTGAAGACACGCCCTAAAAAACACAGCATGAGAAACTCAACTGAGCCAAGAAAACACTAGAAGAACCTAAAAATACATCTGTAGTGAACGGTGACGTAGAGCAGCCATGAAGCGAAAATGACTTCAGATAAAGTTCTCAGAATACAGAGACAGATAAAGCCGAGAGACTGATTGTAGCAGGGGAGGGTGTGTGTGTGTGTGTGTGTGTGTGTGTGTGTGTGTGTTAGGGGGTCTGGTAGGGATCTGGACACAAGTTAACGTTCATTAACCCTCTTGCATCACTATGGAATTTTTGTCCTTTTGGGCAAATGTTTCCTCTTTATTTTTTTAAATCAGTCTTGGATATGTCAAAGATTATCTGAAATATTTACTTTGATGCATTGTTAGTTTTTGTGTAGCATCAGATTTAAAATGTAATTCCCTGTGAACATGAATCATGTAATCAAACTGGCATTTAATGGGTTAAATTCCTGATAATTATTCAATATTTGGTAGTTTTGAGCAGGGATGGAGTTGTTTAAGAGATTTATGCAGAAAAAAGTAAAAAATAATATCAATCTGTTCTATTTTTATAGCAGTTTTTTGGAAGTGGACATTTTTGTCCTTAGCGACTTAAGAGGGTAGTAAATTAAACTGATGCCTGAGGGTTAAGTGCAGAGGGAGACAGCAGTAGGGTTGCAGAAATGATTGCTAAATAAATGAGGTGACAACACGACTCCCGACTACTAGAACCTGCAGTTAAACAGTAAAAGGTAAACGTGTCATCAAACTGCATTATGATGAAGTGATGTGCTGCAGAGACGCTCTGAGCTACAAGCTTTGTTCTCCACATGTAATAAAAAATGTTTGTTTGGTTAAGACGCCAACGAAATCTCACAACATCACAATTTTACTTGTTTTATATGTGACAAATGAAAGTTGTAATGCAACATTTAATCTTACACTACCTGTGAATTATATCACGATCACAATATCTGACAAAATAAATGCAATATGAGTTCTGGAGACCTTTTTCACTGAATTTGAGAGCAGCTGCAAAAGCAATACACACAACATAAGAATATAATTTTATAACATGGCTACAAAATGAAACAGATTGTGTCACTAGTGGCTTATCAGTTAGTGCGTGCCGATGTACAGAGGCTGTAGTCCTCCAAGTCGGTGGACCAATTTTTGACTCTATCCACTGTGTTATCTCTAAATAAAGGCATAAGAAGACCCAAAATTAAAAAACCTTTATTCGTATTTGATAAGAAAGGGAAAAGAGTAGGAAACCGGGAGAGAAAGGGGGGAATGACCTGCAGAAAAGGAGCCACAGGTCGTACTTGAGCCCAGGCTGCCCAGCTTGGAGGACTAAAGCCTCCGTACATTGAGTGCAACCTAACCGCTAGGCCATCTGTGCCCCAGTAATAGAAGTTTTTGACTATATCGTGCAGCCTCAGCCGGCTGTGTAACGTGAGGCCACCGTCACACTGTGCCGCCGTGTCATTCATTATACAATACACACACACACTCAGACCCCCGGGTGTACAGAGGAACAATGAGAGCAGCGCACACACACACACACACACACACGCACACGCACACGCACACACACCCTCACTCCAAGAAACACACACGTTGAGGCTGCACTCACAGTGAACCCCTGAGAAAGCCTTTTCATTTAAATGAGTCAGAAGTTGTGTGGAGGATGCAGCGAAGGCCGAGTGCCGTCAGCATCACCTCGGCGAGCGCTCTGATAAATGTGTCATTGTGCAGCTGAGAGCAACACAAAGCAGGAGGAGACTCGTCACATTCAAATCTAAGGACTTTATTGAAGCACACATTCATGCTCCAACACTGTGTTCATTATGGTTCATATCCAACGCTCTCTATCTGCTGCTGCTCACAGATAATTGCCTTTTTGGTGCCATAATATGACGACAGGGCCGAGAGAGGTTACTGACAGACGCTACTGCACACGCTCAATGGCACACTACAAACATTAATAACTGGAGAGGTTTAGTGTGCTTGTGTTGTAAGAATGTAGTAATTCACCCGAGCTGCAACCTCAAACTGCAGTTCCTCTTGTGTCCACTAAAGGCTGGAAATCTAAGTTGCCAGTCGGGTATGTCATCAGGAACCTCCCCTGTGAGGTCAATAAAATGCACCATAACTACCCCTAACTTGTATTTTGTCCTTCACCTGCCGCTAACCGCTGGTTTAAAAACGAGCAGATAGTCGCCGTCATTCCTCGAGCGCTCTAATCTTCTTCAGTCTGATCAATAATCAATGTGTCATGACTGTGGTTTATGTTTCATGTTCTGCAGAACAGGAACCTGCTGGAAACCAGTTTTTTTAAACTGAGTCAGGCACGTTAAACTGTAACTTAATGTTACTTTTAAACTTTCCTGTATAATAAATGAAAATGAAATTAATAAACAGCTGTGGACAGCTAACAGTGCTGATGGTTAACTAGCTCATTAGCCATGGCCACCCCCTAGCTCATCTCAAGCTCCACCCACACATTCTAAACTCTGGGCTACAAAAAGCCGCCAACAACCCAATGGTGACATGTTGTCTGTTAATTAACCCATTAATGCATCTTCACATAAAGTAATGATCACAGCTCACTCGCTCTCTCTCGCTCCATTATCCATGCAGCAGCTGCAGAGTCTTTCCCACTCCTCAGCCTGATGTTTGGCCGTCTTCCAAAGGTAGGTAAGGACTCATTTGTCACCTTAAGTGCGCTCCTCGGTGGCAGCACTAAATAGACCTACACACACACAGCTTTAATAAGTTTCTCTGCTCGGCTGATTCTCTCATAAATATTCATGACGATGGGGTCAGCTCAGGCTCCAATTGGTCCCTCCGTCACACAACCAAACATCCTGACTGAGCGTCAGATAAAGAAGAGGAACAAGAAGAACTCAGGGAAGCAAACATGAACAAAAGAAACGAGACAAACAGAAGCTTCTGTGGATTTGAGGTTTTACAGGAGGTGGAGACAGACGAGGTTTAGAGTCTGACTCTTCACCTCAAACTAAATAATCACAGTCACTGTCAGACAATGAATCATCTACATTGTTCAAGTGTATTTTCTATCAATCAACCAACTGACAAATGTTTTCAGCACAGGTGTAGGACAGCAGGAAAGGCCCAGCGTCAGAGTCCTGATATCGTCTTATTGATGCACCTGAACGGAAAGGACACACGATTATGATGCAACAGCTGAGCGCTCCTGCTACGAGTCAAAATGTCTGCCATGAAAACAGACGCTATGAAGATAGAAGATATGAAACCAAGGGTCGCTTGTTTGCAGAAGCGAGTGATGTTTTGTTCACCAACAAACTTTTTACCTCACAGGGTTGTCATGATACCAGGATTTTAAACTTTGATATGATACATCTGATAGATCAGGATGATCTTCTACTATTCTACTATTCACTCAGCAGACGCTTTTATCCAAAGTGACGAACATCAGAGAGTAAGAACAACACAAGAGAGGAGAGAGAGGTCAGGAAGTGCAAACAAACAGCTTTAAGTCTGATGAGACACACAGGTGATGACAGGAAGTGACCAGAGGCAGAGCTCAGGTGCTGACAGGAAGTGACCAGAGACAGAGCTCAGGTGCTGACAGGAAGTGACCAGAGACAGAGCTCAGGTGCTGACAGGAAGTGACCAGAGACAGGGCTCAGGTGCTGACAGGAAGTGACCAGAGGCAGAGCTCAGGTGCTGACAGGAAGTGACCAGAGACAGGGCTCAGGTGCTGACAGGAAGTAAATGTAAATGGACTTGACTTTTCTAGTCTTCCAACTACTCAAAGAGGAAAGGATTGATGTTTGAATTTCTGTGACTGCAGCTTCTGATCTCATGTTTCACTCACCTCTTTGTGTTTTTGGAGGTTAGCTGTGTTTGCTGCAAGACCACGGAGGGATTTTATTTAAAAAGAAATGTAGAAAATTAAAAGATGAACTTATTAGACTGAAAGCGCGGAAACAAGGAAACACGTGTTAATAAAGTAACCGTGTGCAGCAACATTTTTAGGTAACCGTTTGTGTTTGCATGCCTTGAATCAAAGTGTGTGATGATGTAGAAGAAGCGAACAGAGGCGATGAGAAGAGAGAACAAACAGGCACATGCTTCAAAATGAAACCAGTTAGAGACCAGTCTACTACGAGTCCTCCCACTCCACCCACCTGTCAGTTTGTGATGGCTGACACAGTGTGGGCAACATTTTCGAAAAAATAAAAAAAATCTCCATCAGCGCACTTTGTCAAATAGTGCTCGTGTTGCCAAGAACCAACATAAAGACACCTCAGTTTCCACGACAACAATCTGGGATACACACACACACACACACACACACACACACACAGAGAAATACTGCAGCGTATACAGAACGGGCGCTTTGAAGTAACAAAAGCACAAATTCAAACTCCCGCAGCTCAATAAAGTGCAGCTTAGAACGGTTTATATTCACAGTCAGGACGGGAAATGGACCAATCAGCTGCTGTGATCCTGCAGACCGCCTCACCTTCGAATCATCGGCTAAAGATCGGACAGAGACAGACGTACACATGGCAGTCATACGTGGAGATAAGTTTCAGTGTGCTGCAGACAATTATGACACCACGGAGCAGGTAATCTCATCTGCTGTGCAACGAGGAGGGAATCACTCGACTGAGCCGTGCAGCACGAAGCTCAGAGGAAGTTAAACGCCGTCGTTTTTGAGAGATAAAAAAAAAAAGTTTCAGTCCTTTTCAAGCAGAAACGTCCTACACTCAGAGGTTCCAGCTCGGGCTGCAATCAATGGCCTCTCAAATAATAATAAATAAAAAGACATCTATACCTGATTGAAACCATGGCAACAAAAGTCCCAGGAAACCAATATTTGGCCAAGTAACTTCCTGCACAAAAACATTGGCAAAGTGTCAGTATTAACTGTTGCTATGTTTTTGTGTAATTTAAGCCTGACTTTCACTTCTGCACACAGAAGCCTTTCCACATAGCCCGACATGAATCTCGTCAAAAATTCAACTTCTCGTTAAAACGACGCAACCTGTCATTGGCCCTGTGATTGGTCCATTGTATTCCCTGAATTTACCACTTTTTCGGCATGGCCACCATTTTCAAAATCCTGCAGAAGGATGAACGCTACAAGCCAGTATCACCACCTGCTGCTCTGTATCTGACAGCTCCAACAGAATCTGCTCAGTTTCTGTCAAACAGGAACGCCACTACGGCGAGAGCTCTCAAAATATGTGGAACTTTGTTTTCAACTATCAAAAACTGCAGACAACCTGCTGCACACAAACATTGGCAACCTATTTTCTTGCATTTTAAACCGGTGTGTGCAGCAGTTTGTCTGCAGCTTTGGATGCATTCATTCTGCTCCTACACACCCGTTTCATCAAACATGTTTTTGTAAAGCTTCCGTCCTTTTTTAAATATTGATCATTAAGATAACAGATTGTATCGATTGAAACATGTGGTGTGGAAAAGATTTTGAGTATCAAACATTGATTTCAACCTTTCTTTGAAGACATCCTTAGGGTTCAACTTTGGAAACTCAATGAGCCTCTTTCAACATTTATTCACTTGAAGATTGATCAACAGATCAGTGAAATTATTCAGACTAGTCGCTGCTGATGATAAGGAGAGTTGCAGCCCTGAAACGGTATCCTGTCTCACAGTGAGTGTGTGTGTGTGTGTGTGCTCTCTGACTGTCCTCTGATGAGTCTCCCTGAGGTTGTCAGCTGTTGGCACCTTCAGGCCGGCTGCTGCTCACCAACACATGGCTGCAGCCTGAGAGCAAAGTCCTGCTGCACAGAGGAAGGACCTGCAACAGCTCTGAGTGTTTGTGTGTCACTTTATCAGGAAGTATGTGCGTGCGTGTTTGTGTCAGGCCATGTGCGTGTGATAGTTGGGGGGGGGGGGGGGGGGGGGTTAATGGTCATAAATAGAATTTTCATTTGCTCAAGTCTATTTAAAGCTCATTGCCATCCATGAATGTTCAGACTTCCTCACATCCACTGACTCACTTGGTGTCACAATTCTTCATCAGATTACTAAAAGTTTGTAGAAGCAGTGACGTCACCACACAAGAACCATAAACGCTGATAACGATCCACGAGACGATCAAACGATATCAACACCTGTTTGATACCACAGCAACAATACAAGTCTAAGAAACCCAGTAGTGTCCTTTCTTATCCTCAGACATTGGAAACATCTCTCTGAGGAGACGTTGATAATGTTTTAGTGCAATACAGAGTGTGTGCAGGAGTTTGCTTCCAGTTTTTGTTTCGATGGACTAATTTGCTATACACCTGTCTGATGAGATTGTGTTTTGCAGGGCTCAGGTACATGTCCATACGGTTATTAAAGTCGTTTTTAAAACACGTGTTTTCTTACAGCAGCCTATGGAAGTATCGCACTCACATGTTGACAGCCTTCGTCAGCAGCGGAGAGTTATAACCTCTCAACATTTTCAAGTGTCGTGTGTTTGTTGTGGCTGCTGCAGTACCTTGTCCACTTTAATGACAGGACAGGTAACTCAGGTGTTCCCTCACTGGTGACTCTGTGAGTGAGCACACAGCAGCAGCAGAGTTTCATCCTGCAGACTGTTCAGGCCTAACAACATGACACTCTCTGCACTTGGATCAGATCCAGATCACCTGACTCACCTTTTTCATAATCCCGGTCTTCCTCTTACTGAAGGTGGTGTAACGTCTCAACTTGTTGTCAATAAATTCCATCTTGATCTTCACGCGCCCACGTGTCTTCTTCCCCGGCTTTGCTCCGGCGACCCCTCCGGGCACCATACCGTAGCCTCCGGGAGGAACCCCCACCTCCTGCCCGGTCACCACCGCCTCCATCTCTCCCCTCTCCCGCTTCACCCCTCTCCTGCTGTCCCCAGTGAACCCACGGGGTCGTCATCATCCCCCGAGTCCGAGTCATTCTCCGAGCCGCTGCACAGCGGAGCGCTCTCCCTGTCCGGGTCGAACCGGGCTCCGTGAGGCAGCACGATTCCCGCGTTTAGCGCCACCATGCCGGCCTGGACCGCGGTCTGCAGAGAGGTCACCCCGGTGCCGTTCCCCGGTCTCACACCTCGTGGACCACCTGGACCGTTCGCCCCCAGCATCCCGACTGAGTCCCTGCCCCCCTGTCGCCCCGCAGCCCCGGCGCTGTCGCTGCCCCCCGGTAAAACCTGCCCCGCTCTCACCAACACGGGACGGATCCCGATGCCAACAACCCCCGCCCCGTGTCCTGTGGTTCCCCTGCCTGAAGCGGACCCGTTTCCTGCTGGTGCCGACCCGGCCCGGCTCGGTATCATTCTATTCACTGGACCGAGTCTGTGAACGCCAGCCGAACCAGCTGGAGCGCGCGGAGTGGTGAAACGCAGATAAACGCATGCGCATGTGCCACAAAATGTAAACAAAACGGGCCCGGTCGAAGGTTCTGAGACTCCAGGAAATTAGCGAGACAAACTTTGGAAAGTGATGCTGCCCCCGAGACCCTTCAACCCCGCTGCGTTTGTTCACCCTCCTCCTCTATCTCCAAAACTCCGAGCACTTTCTCAAAAAGGACAACGCGGAGAGCGCCTTCTGTGTCGCTCCGCCATCTTAAATAGTCCGCATTGCGAACCGGAACATCTCTATATCCTCTCAGTTGTCGTACAAATAATCACATTTACTCCAACATGTACGCAGAGTTGATCTCTTTATGATTCAGGGACTCATTTAAATGTCTCCTTTTAGATCCGCGTTTAAATCAGCGGAGTGATATCACAACACAGGATCTACTTTCTTCCTTATAAAGAGATACAATGTTTCCTTATTTGGTGCTGTCTTTCCTTATTTGGTGAGTCACAGCGTCGCCTATTGATTGGCTGAAGGTTTTCCGAGCAGCGCTGTGATTGGTGGATGAGGCGGGCTCATTGGAATAAATACCAAAATGGTTGCGCCGCCGTGAACGTCACTGAGCAGGCTGTGGCACCGAAATAACAAAACATCCAACTTTTTATTCCCCACGGGTTCATCACCAAAGTGTTTACGCCATAAAAACTCTGAGGTGACGTCATTCGTATCTAAGGAATTAAATTTAAAGTGGAAATTAGATTCTGAGCAGTTTATTAGGCCTCCTCTTTTCTTAATGTGTCCATGCAGGTAAATTATCAAAATGTACATAATCATGGCATCTCTGTGCATTCATATCTCTTTAGAATAGAAATAATAAACCTGACTGTGAGGGGGACATTACCTTAAACACTGAGCATGCTTCCTAATAACTTTACTCCAGGTGCTGCAGAAACTCGCAGTCCAGTGTTTTGTCATGACCGGCTCAAAGGTCTATGTAAACAAAGAGAGACATTAAAATAATTAAGCTGATTTATTTACAAAAACATGATTAAAAAGACATGAGGTTTGGATGTCAGTGGTGTTGGTGAGTGGGTGTGTGATAAGTGTAGTGTGCATGTGTTGGATGGAGAAGGAAGATGAAGCAAAGTAAGAAAGTCTCTCTGAGTAGACTGAGGTGGCAGCTTTTATGGTGACTGTGAGCGTCAGCGCCCAGGTGATCTCAGTCAGGCTCATTGGACCAGCACACATAGATGTACCTGCAACACAAGAGAAGAGAACAACAGGCCATCACTATCCATCATCCTGTTGTGTCAGTGGAAGGATATGGAAGCCCTAAGCAGACAAACATCCATGTGTTTTATTTCACTCCGTTTAAAGATTTGATTTACTGTCACTTCCACAAAACACTCCCAGCAGCATCATACCCGTGAGCCAAAAGCAGTTCCCTTCAAATCAGGCAGACTAAAAGAACAGAAAAGAGATACATGCAACAAGACCGACCCCTGAAAGGCAGAGTGAAGGTGCCCGGTTGGAGTCATTTATTAATATCAATACGTCTAACGCTCGCCTCCTCAGCCTGGCTCCGATTTGCTTTTGGAGGAGACTGAAGAAAGTTTGTTGGGGTTAAATGCCTCCACCTCCTTCTCTGTTCCGCCATGCTGACTTCTGTGCAGATCAAACGATTAATCAAAAGTGTATTTCTGCGTTCATAAGAAATGGTGAGTATTTAGGTTTTAAATAAATTGTTTTTGCTTTAGGATGGAGCGTGTTCTTTGTTAACCTTCATGTTGGGCCGCATAAAGCTCTCCCCCTCTCTCTCCCCCCCTTACGAGCCGCCCTCCTCATTGTTACAGGACAACGGAGCAACATTAAATGTTTGATTGCATGACCACTTTGGGCTTCTGTACTAATAGCAATGGTGCGTTCATGTTGTGTCGGACACATTGGAAAAACAAGTTCCCAAGCTGGAAAATGCACATTAACGTCTACTGAGGGGCCCAGCCAGACGCTCTTTGGTTTGGTGATCAGACGGCGTTGAAATGATGCAGCAAACCCCGCCCGTCTGGTGCTGCAGGCAGGTTAAAACAAATGCATCCTGGTATTTGAACATTAATCTTCATCCAACCTTTCTTGGCAACATGCTGGGAGGGGGGATTTCATGTAATGGTTGGGCTGAGAACTCGTGCAGGGAGAAAGTTTTCTGAAGTGTGCAAACTTTTTCAAATTGAGCGATGGATGATAATTGATAGAAATATACAAACACATCATCACTAGAGAGAGAGCGGGGAACGACATGCAGGAAAGGAGCCAAAGGTCGGATTCTAACCAGGCCGTCCACTTTGAGGACTACATCCTCTGTACATGGGGCACATGAACTAACCGCTGGCGCCTCTAAAGTGACCTCTTAAGACTTGAAGAGAACACCCATGATGCATCAGGATGAACTCAAAAATCTGAAGTCCCGCGAGGCTGCCAAACAAGCTGTGACATTTCAACAAAGACATAATTATCCTATCAAAGGAGAGGACGTCATGTCTGTTTATAAACTCCATGTTAGCTCGTTGAACTCTAACATGTTCTGTTGGATGATAGGCATCTACCGCCCTCTAGTGGTCGATGACAGAACTGGTACCTTTAAAGACTAACAGGAGGCGTGTGATTAGAGGAGGGGCTTATAGAGGGAGGGAACATGTTTTACACATTAAAGCCGTTTAAATATATTAAACATGAAGAATGACAGAAACACATAAACACCTGATCATGAAACGTTGATCTGAAAAGGTTCTGAGCAGATTGTGATTGCTTAACTGCCTCTGAAAAGATACTACCATGCACTGTGTTGTTTTGGCCTTACCGTATATAAATGATTGAACATTATCAAAACAAATCTGTCTATTTTCATAAAGGTTTATTTTTTACTTTTTCAGAGACAGGACAGTGGATCGAGTTAGAAATCAGAGAGAGAGAGAGAGAGAGAGAGAGAGAGAGAGAATAACATGCAGCACAGGAGCCACAGGTCGGACCTGAACCAAGGCTGCCAAATCTGTTTCATTTTTGGAGCCATGTTTAAAAAGGATATTCTTATCTGACATGCATCACCTTTGGAGCTGATATTTAAATTCTGGGAAAAGGTCTCTTATGCTAGTTTTTGAAAACTACTGACCCTGCCTTTAAGTTTACTTCATGATTATGAAAGTAGCATTCCCTCAGTGCTCCGTCTGCACCCAGGACCTGAAGACAATTTCAACCAAAGTCAAAGTGGAAAATTAGCAACACTGTCTTTAATTGTATGGGTAAGAAAATCAAAAAGAAATCTGTTAAATCTTTCAGATGAGAGGACTCCTCTCACGAGTGTCCTGCACAAACATCTGCACAAGCTTGTTCTGTTAGTGAGACGATAAAGACCTCTAACTTTTAATCAGTGCTACGATGACATTTTGACATGAAGCGCTTTAGCTCAGTGTTGAAGGGGAATGAGAAACTTTTTGATAAGTTATGGGAACCGTTCCTAAACCGCCTCCTACATGGCACAGCAGATCTAGTACGCAGGAGGTACTGGCACCTCTCCCTTACCTCTGTGAGTCCTGAATGCTCTGTGTAGGATGTATGCCTATGTACGTATACTCCCTGATCCATTTTCAATATCTGAGTCTCTGATGAAGAAAAGGAAATGTACAGTTCCATGCAGTCTGGCAAAATATGCCTTTACCTTGTTTAGCTTGGATTGTCTTTCTGTAACTTGCTCATACGAGTCCTTGCTGTCACGTGTTGCTTTTTCCCAAATGTAGTAAAATATGATATATAGATTAAAAAGTATATTCTCTTTGTTAGTACAAGCCCGTTTAAGGGAAGGAGAGATTCATGTTGCCCCCTCAGGCAGGCGTTGTTTACACACAGTCTAAAAGAATCTACCTGCAGAGACTTGCTCTTCATGAACCTCAGAGAACATTTCGTCACCTTTGTTATCGGTACTGAAGATTAGACACTTTGTGGTTCTGCAGCTGCAAAGAGAAAGACATCATGGAAACTCTTCAGGTGGACTCAAAGTCGTCAACGTTTCGACAGGAATTACCCACTTGCACAATTCTGGACAAAAATGTCTTAACTTGTAATTTATGTCCCGAACATTTTAATGATTTATCATCATTTTTTAAAGTGAAGCTGCTCCATGGTCTCTTCTGGGCCTCCATACATGTGTGGTGGTGACTGTGTCTGCAGAGAAATCCTCTGACTGGATTTTACTGTTCTGGTTTGTTCTGGTTGACTCGGGACATTTCTGAGCGGAGCTGGTGTGTTTCCTCCAGCCAATGACAGCGCAACAGGTGAGTTTAGGAGTGGATATAATTCAGTGATTTGACACTGATATAATGGCAAAGAAGAGAAATGGCAACTGTGAGGGAAAACACCAGAGCTTTTTACAAACGAGGATGAAGCTTAGGTTGGCTTTTACCTGCTTCCAGGCTCTTAAGAACATCCTGGGAGGAAGAGTGATGCATTCTGTTGGACAGGCAGGTGACAAACACAGGCAGTGCAGGTACAAGCAGTAAATGTACACACAGTAAGGGAGTGCACTTCTGGTGAACATGAGCCCAGGAGGAGGGGCCAATGCAACAAACTTATACTGACTCCACCTTTAAATGTATTCTCCTCCTCTTCAGTTTAAATAAGTCTCAGAGGTCCTCAAAACATGTCTGTGAAGTGTCTTGTTCTAAATTCACTCTGATCCTGTATTTGATCATGTCTATAACCCCCTCTGTCAGCCCTGCTCAGAACAGACTGTTTCTGTGTCTGTACCTTTAAATATGTAAATGAGCTGTGTCTGACCCTCTCTGGAAGGGCCTGGGTGTCTCGGGCTATCTCGCTCCATGTCCTATTGTTTACAGTGAGAAGGCAGACTCAGAGAGCAGAACTAACACCTAGCTATGGCAGTGTCACCCACCTGGGGGAGGGGCTACTGCCCTTTGTGATGTCATGAAGAGAAAATCTCCAAACGGCCTGTTTGAGCACACATTTTCTGGAAAGTGGAGGAGGCAGAAGACGGAGAGGATGGACTTTTCTCATCATTGGGGGTTTGTAGACAGACTAGAGACACATATTAGAGATAGAGGAACATGGGGTTCGTGGATTTTACATGACGTTACCTTTGAATGTTGATTATTATATTAAACTAAAAAGGACACATAACCAAAAACCAGTCCCAGATGTGTTTCTGTGTGCAGCAGGAATGACAACAGGTGGGTTAAAAACACTGTGAACCTTTATTGACAGCAGCATGTATACTTTTTGTAAATATCTGGGATTACTGTGGACATTTGCAGAAGCAGATTAAAAAAACAGCACGTCTAGGTGTGAGCGCCTAGCATTCATAAAAACATTACACTAAAAACAACAACGTATAAAAACAGCTTCAATAACAAAGGCCTTTGCTTTGATTAGATAACGTAAAAAAAAGAGGGAAACAGTAAAGAGAATCCTTCATTTTGCAGGCACTTAAATGAGTACTGGTGACCAGCAGTCACTCTTTTGACCTCTTTGTACTGTGTTAGCGTCTTTAGCTGGACAGCAGCCTGAACGCTCACTGATTGGACCGTGAGGATGGAGGCGGAGCTTCAGAGACGTACCTACGTATTATAAACAGATACAGAAAAAAAGACAGGACCTTCATCATAAATAAACAGGTACCTGCACGACCAACTACACAACATGAGAGAGAGAGAGGGAGAGAGGGGGTGAGAGAGGGAGAGAGAGAGGAGAGAGGGGAGAGAGAGAGAGAGAAAGAGAGGGAGAGCGAGGGGAGAGAGAGAGCGAGGGAGAGAGGGGAGAGCGGGAAGGAGAGAGATTGGGGAGAGAGAGGGCGAGAGAAGGGGGGTTCTTTAAGTGAAGTTAGTGCATGGCTTCTACATTATGTACACACTGTGACGGTCCGCTCTGCAGCATTGCACAACACGCCTGGACCGAGAGGGACGCTGTGATTGGACCACTGAGGAGATGATGCTGCAGGTTCGACAGTGATAGGCTGCTTCCCTGCAACATGATCAAGTTTACACGCTGGGTGTTCTCACCCATCTGTGCCGACCGATTAGCACCTTAAAGTTAACATAAGAACACACTCTTTAAAATAAAAAGCCCAAACTGGTACGATCCCATCTGTTCAACACGTTGGCTCTTCACTCCATCTTTTTTTCATGTTCCTGAAGTTTCTCCCGATGATTTCTTCTCACAAGTTTCCTCATGCTGCAAATAACAAGAGTAACAGACGACAAACCTTCATGCAAAACCCCGACTCCACTTCTTTTTTCTAACACGGAAACAGCTTAGTAACACACACACACACACACACACACACAAACACACACACACACACACACACACACACACAGACTCACACACTCAGGATGCATCTGATTGTACTCTAAGCTAAACTTGGTTTATAGAGTCTTCAGAAAGATTTCAAAGCTCCACAGTTGCACAATTTTCCCGCTAATTTTCAAGGATCTTAACGCTCTAACTTTCAGAGAGTTTTTTCAGAACCGTCACCCGTCGAGCACGAGAAACGTTCATCTCACATTTCTGTAAAGCAGTCCGGGGGGGGGGGGGGTGGGCTGTCACGATGCTAGAATATTAAACTTTGATATGTTTCTGGTACAATTCAATTAATATCCAAACCTCTTTAGTTACCATGGTAACACAGACAGAAGTCCTAGGCGTCCAATATCGTGTGATTTCTTCTTTTTAATGATCAAATATTGCGATATTGCAACTCCTGCTCGCTGTCTAAATGTCAAATTGTTGCTGATGTTCTCATGCAATGAGACAGCATGAGAGAGAGGGAGAGACTGAGATATAGTGCAGAGTTGACATGCAACATTTGATCATTCTGTACTTTTAGGCTCCTTGGAACAGCCAAGGAACAGAGATTCAATCGTTTTTTTAAACGTGGCATCGAAAAGGTATCAAACATTTTCACAGCCTTAGTGTGATTCAAGATGCTTTCCATTAATCTGAGAATCCAAAGCCCCTAAAAACAGCCCTAGTTTAGTTTAAGTGTGTGTGTGTGTGTTTGTGTGTGGAGGGGTAGAGGCACTGAGGTTGTGAGGCTCCGTGGATCAGAGAGGTCTCAGGGACAGTACGGCAGGCAGGCAGGGTCACAGTGAAACCACAGGCTGGGCTCAGGGTGGGTGGGGTCGGTGGTCCATGCTGCTGTTAAGGCAAACGTAAATTCCGCTCTGCCGTCGAGACGCCGTCCACCCCAACAACGAGTCTGTTTCCTCTGATTATCAAAGAAGTCTCGTCCACACAGCCGCGGTTTGAAATGCATATAAAAAATGTTTTCTCCTCAACCCTCCTCCCTGAAATGTGAGCGAATAATCCAGCATCCTGTCTTTATTTAGGGGGTGGGGGTGGGGGGGTGGGGTGGGGGGAGGGGTTTGGTCAGAGTTCCCCTCAGATTCAGGGGTGCTGATGGTCGTCTCAGACTTTGCTGTCAGATGGCAGCTCCCCCAGCGCGTGGACGATGTCGGTGAAGGACGGACGCTCCTTCAGGCTGGGTGCCCAGCAGCGACAGATCAGCTTGTAGATTTTAGACGGACAGCCGTCAGGAGGGGGCAACTTCAGCTTCCCCGTCTGCAAAGCTGGAGGGGCAGCGGAGAGACGGCGGGTTAGAATCAGAAACACAGAGTTTAATGGACATGCATGAAACCCCATTAACCACCACGCCCTGTCGCAGGATGCCACGGGGGACAAAATGTTTCAAATGAAGCTTCACACTGACCTTCCAGCACCTCGTCATCATTCAGTTTGGAGTGCGGCATTTCCCCGTGGCTGAACACCTCCCACATCAGCACCCCGAAGGCCCAGATGTCAGACTTTGTGGAGAAGTCGTCCTCGAACACAGACTCAGCAGGGAGCCAGCGCAGCGGGATCCACGCCTGTCTGTAGTGATAATACTCACTGAGGGAGGAGAGGGAGACATCAGCACGAGGAACAGAGACACCACCGAGAGAGTCAAGAGGGAGGTTATGGTGTAAGAACAGAACCTGTTGTAGACGTCCTTGCTGAGGCTGAGCGACGACACCTTCACTCGTCTCTGACTGTTGATCAGACAGTTTCGGGCGGCGAGGTCTTTGTGGACGAAGCGGTGATTGGACAGGTGCTCCATCCCATGAGCCACCTGGGCACAGATGGAAACCTGCAGGGGAAGAAACTCCGCTGATGATTCAAAACAAGTCTTCAAACATATCACTTTTTTTTCCACACAGACAGTGGAAACACTTTTTTATTTGACATGGAGATCATTTTGAAGATTTATTTTTGGGCATTTTGTGCCTTTAATGGAGAAATAGGACAGCAGATAGAGTCAGAAATCAGGGAGAGAGAGAAGGGAAGGACATGCGAGAAAGGAGCCACAGGCTGGATTCGAACCCGGGCCGCCTGCTTGGACGACTACAGCCTTCATACATGGAGCGTGCTCACTTACCACTGCGCCACCAGCGTCCAGACATGGAGATTATTTTGAGTAAATATAAAACTGCTTCTGAAGTAAAGTCAATGAAGTTCTCTAAACCTGCATTTTTCTAATGACCAGCAGGGGGTGACACCGCTGGTTTTAACAAGAAGTCATTGATAAATACTCTTTAGTAAACATTTTCCTGAAGAGTGTAAGGTCTCAATCTCTAGTTTTAAGTCTTCTTCAACGCAGGATCATGATCAGTTAGTTGATGATGTTCACATTTAGAGTCAAACAGACGAGAAAGAGGGGAAGATATTCCAGCTGCCGTTCATCTCTATCTCTCTTCTATCTGCATGAACGATGTCGTGCAGTATGCTGTGAGCTGTCAATCATCCGACACTTACTTTGGTCTTGGTGCTGATTGGCTGAGATTTGATCTTGTCATCTTTGCTTTTGGAAATTCTCAGGAACTGTTTGAGGTCTCCCTGATGGATGAAAACAAAACAACATTAAATCAGGTAAAAACACAGATTCACCTGCAAGAGTGTGTGTGTGTGTGTGTGTGTGTGTGTGTGTGTGTGTGTGTGTGTCTCTGTGTGTGTGTGTCTCCATGTGTGTGTGTGTGTGTCTCCGTGTGTCTCCATGTGTGTGTGTGTCTCTGTGTGTGTGTTACCAGGTCGTAGTACTCCAGGATCATGTAGTGAGGCTCCGCCTCTCTGCACAGACCGAGCAGGCGGACCACGTTGGGGTGGCTGAGCTTGGCAAACATTTCGGCCTCTCGGCGGAAGTCGAGCTGAAACTGTTCGTCTCTGGTCTGCAGACTCTTCACCAGAACCACTGACTCGTCCTCGCTCTCCTCCAGACCCTTAGCCTTACAGAGCAGCACCTCGCCGAACTCACCTTTACCTGAACACACACACACAGCCCAGATCAAAACGTCACACCTCAGATTCTCTCACATATATCTACTTTTATTTATTCTGTTCAGCTTTAAAAACAAAGATTAAACAAGCTCGAGATGTTAACACTCAGATTAGTGAGTCAAATATCTCAAAATGAGTGAGCTAGTATATAAATAAATATAAACATTAATGAGTGTACCCAGAGTGGTGATGGTCTGCAAGTTTGCTCGAGGGAAGTGCAGCTTGTCGTTGTTAACGTGGCTGTGGCGTTTCTCTGTCGTTGCCGTGATGCCCATGTTGGTGAGCGCCACTTCCTCCTGGATCTCTGTGGTGGTGTGTCCGTTTTGTTGAACGGCCCCTCCTAAAAAACACAACACACATCCCACATGGTCAGAAGTCGTTGAAGGTAAATGTGGCGTACATACCTATAACGTAAAATGTATTTAAAGGTCCAATCAGTGAGATGTGTAGAGAGTGAGATGATAAAGGTATCTTACTATATGATCAGACATTAAGGAAACATGTTATGTTGAAGTGCTGGCTTCTCTGACAACAATGCAGCAGCCAGTATGTCCTCCTTCTAACTTTAGATTCTGCTCCTGAATGCTCTGGATTTGTTTGGATCAGAGAAGGTAGGCGGTTTTAAGGCACCCCCACACGGCCGTTTTGGACGCCCCTCGGTTTGCCAGATATGAGAGCAGTTATCAGGTCAAACCAACAGGTGTTGCAGCGATGGAAGCGGGCAAGAGAAGTGGTTCAGATAGAAGTGATTGTACCCGACCTAAAAAGCCTCTGCATGTTTCTAATAAGCTCCACGAGCAGAAACGTGCTCAAACTAGGATCAATATTGGAGATGCTTTTGGAAAATGGGGAGAGGTTAGAACACAGAAAGGTTTACAGACCGATGCAGAGCTGGATAAACACTGAAGCTTCAGTGTCCACCACATGGTGACCTGTGTGAGCATGGACTCTAGACAGGATCATTTTCACATCACTCGCTCTAAATGTTTGATTCCACAGGAACAGAACTAAACGTTCTAGGCACCCAACATTTGGGTTTTCAACAATCAGAAATTGCAGGCAAACGGCTGATCAGTGTCTGAATTGTACAAATACGCTGGCCATCGTCTTTGTGAAATTCAGTGTGCAGAAGATTGCCTGCAATTTTTGATTGATTCATTCTTATTCTACGCACCTCTCTTATTAAAAATATGTATTATTTTAAAGCTTTACTAACTATCGAGAAAAATGAAGTATCGACTGGATCGAAAACCTCAGAGAAATTAGAGAGGATGCTGTTCCTCAAGTGTGTACCCTTTCAGCATTTTTTATGTTGAATGCAATACCAAAGACAAACACATGATGGCAGTAGATATCTTTAAACTTTCCAACAGTGACTCGAGGTCCATGACTTTCAGAGAAAGAACAACTTGAGCACAGAGGCTGGAAAATATTAGTCCCTAAGTTTAAAACTTTAGCGGAGAGAATCACTCCCATGATTCCCCACCATCCTCAACGTCCATCCATCCATTATCTATACTGTTTGGGGTCGTAGAGGGGCTTGAGCCGATCCCAGCTGTCATTGGGTGAGAGGTGGGGTTACACCCTGGACTGTTTGCCTGTCAATCACAGGACTGACATATAGAGACAGACAACCAGCAACACTCACATTCACACCTACAGACAATTTAGAGTCAGCAGTTAACCTAACGAGCATGTCTTTGGACTGTGGGAGGAAGCCGGAGTACCCGGAGAGAACCAACACATGAACGAGGAGAACATGCAAACTCCACACAGAGAGACTCCTGTCAGACGGGGATTCAAACCAGGAACCTCCTCACTGTGAGGGGACAGCACTAACCACTGCAGTACCACAGAGCCCCACAGAGCCCCCTGGTGGTGGAACTTATAAACTGTGCGTTTAATGTTGATTATTTTCTCTTTGTCGTTGTTTGATCTGAAGTTTAAATGATTTCAGTTTCTGCAGATATAAGCATCAGTTAACTTTGCAAACAACCAGTGGACAGAAACGACCTTTAGAGGGCGCTGCAGGAGACTTAGGTTACGACTTCTACTTAAATAAACATCCTCCCCTTCTGCTCCTTCCTAACATTTACTAAGACCCTGCTTCATCGACCACTCGTACCGTTGAGACACTCCATCTCTGGCTCCTCTCCGTCGCCGCCTTTCTGCTGGCGTTTGGCGTGGCGTCTCTTCTTGCAGTAGAACATGAGTCCGAGCACCACAATGATGTACGCCACAGCTGCTCCCACGGAGAGGCCGATGGTCTGGATCATCTTGTACGGAGCTTTGTCCCCGTCATCGTCGTAGGAGTGGTTTGGTTTGTCTGTTTGGAAACAAGCAGCAGTGATGGATCAACTGGAACACTTTAATCAAAAACATTTATTCTATTGGCTGCAGTTTGTCTCGCTTCTCTTCCTTTTCTGTCAGAGACAACCCTTCAGATTTCTCACTTCCTGTTGTTTTCCGTCTCTTTGTTGGATTCTGTTTTCATGTTTGGTACAGATCTAAATGTAAGATATGCACATTAAACATTTACATGAATAAGAGTTCTGAGAGTGAAAATGCAAACATGCAGATTATTTGAATCTCATGAGGTTCATCGTGTGATGATCTCTCACAGTTCTGTTTCTCTGCAGTTTAATCTTTGAAACAAGACGCGACCACACGATTATCACGCTCCAGAATGATTTAATAAATGTAACATTTGAGCTTTTTAGTGTTTTTTTCAAATGCAAAAATGTAAAACGTGCAGCTTCTGAACTTTTGTTGTTTTATGGTCATTTTGTAAAATAAAAGTTTTTGTCTCTTTGTTTCATAGATGTCAGCATTTGACGATGTAACTTTGAGATTTGGGATTGTGAAGAGCATGTTTTTAAACTTTCTGATTTCGGAAACAATTAAACAAAAAAAAATTAAATAGTAAACGCTACACGATCGTGCTGGAAGAGGAAAAAGCCGCTCTCGTCTGGAAGAGAAACAAGTGATCTTTTATCTCGATTAAAGAAATTACTGAGACTGTCATTTTATCATGTGTCGTCTCTCGGGTCTTGTGCCGCCGTCGGACTGACCCCGACGTGCTCCAACAAACGTCTAAACGCGATTAGCTTGTCTTTTTTTAAACTAATCCAGAACGCCGTCCTCCCTCTTTGTGAGAAAATGAGCAGATATGGGACACTGTGAGTCGCCCTCACTCAGCAAACAAAGATCCTCAGAGTGTGAAGACTTATTAAACCCCATCGCCACGGCAACAGGCGGGGCATCAGAGACGTGGTCGTGGTTATTAACCTGTCGAGACGATGACAGGTGGAGGCTGACGCTTTAATGAAGGCCTTTGTCCCTCACGCCACGAGTGAGCACTTCCGAGTCTAAAGGAGGAGGAGCCTGTGTACGGATGCTGTGTGTGTGTGTGTGTGTGTGTGTGTGTGTGTGTACATATGTGTGTGTGTGTGTATATATGATGTGTGTGTGCGTGTATATATGATGTCTGTGTGTGTGTATATATGATGTGTTTGTGTATAACATGTGTCAGTGTGTGTGTGTGTATAACATGTGTCAGTGTGTGTGTGTGTCTGTATATATGATATGTGTGTGTGTGTACATATGATGTGTGTGTGTGTGTGTGTGTGTGTATAACATGTGTCAGTGTGTGTGTGTGTGTGTGTGTGTGTGTTGTGTGTGTGTGTGTGTGTGTGTGTGTGTGTGTGTGTGTGTGTGTGTGTGTGTGTGTGTGTGTGTGTGTTTTAAACTCACCCACGACAAACAGCTTGGCCACGCGGTCTTTGATGCTGCAGCTGTTTCCGGCCACACACGTGTACCTGCCCGTGTCCTCCGTGGTCACGTCTCTGATCACCAGAGAGCCGTTTGACATCTTCTGGATCCTGAGGAGGAGAGAGAGGACGGGCGAGTGAGGGGATGGATGGAGTTTGTGTGCTGACTCAGATAATGTCTATATCTCTGATCTTCACCTCCTGTTCTTGCTGATGTCGAGCGTCTTGTCTTTGACCATCCAGTGGATGTGGGGTTCAGGGTCTCCGGAGGCCTGACAGTGCAGGACGGCCGTGTGACCCTGATACACTGTCGTGTTCTCCGGCTCCAACCTGAAGCGAATGTACACTGAACACACACACACACACGCTCACACAGACACACACACACACACACACACACACGCTTGTTAACACCACACTCAGGCCACAGAGCGTGTCCTTTGACACTGTGGTTAATGAACTCCGTTACACTCCACAACGAAACAGGATTCATTATTGACTCTGAAAGGAAACCAAACAAGCCGCTAACGCTGCCGAGTCTGAAGACAGAAATCGATCCATCACGTTCACACAGCCCACATTCTGACTTTGGTGTGTTGATTTTCACCTGTGGCGACAAAGCGGAACTAACAAACGAATAACTCAGCCTACTCATCAGTTACAAGCTGGAATACATATGTCTGCCTCTTTGATTGGAGGATGACATTTATTCTGTTAACTTGTTTAGACTTAAAGGAAGAATGTGCGACTTTTTGATCCAGTAGGTGTCGCCCTGTAGCTCCAGCATGAAACCAAAAGGCCACGCCTCCTCCATACTGAAGCCTCTGCTCTCCTCTAGAGACACACCTCCAACCCCCCTCCTGTCGTGTTCTCGAAGGAGTCAAGCACAATCAGTAGATATAATTGTCCTTAGCTCGAGCTGCGATCACCTGTGTCCTGCATTGTTGTGTTAGCATGCTAATGTTAGCGCTCTTTAGTTAGCTCGTAGCTTCACATTGCATGTAAACTGACCCAGAATGATCGTGATCTAAAAACTCTTACTAACGTCCAAATAATCAGTGAGTATGTTCCTTCTTCTTCTCTCTAGTCCTTGACTAAAACAGTTTTTATACACAAGGGGAGGAGCCGGCCGTCCCGTCCATGTAAACACGACTCTGACAACAACACAGCCAGCGGTGATGATACAGCGATGTATCATCTCTACGGCCTACACGTTGTTTCTTCTTAACTTCTAAAGCTTGAGAAAAGATGAAAACACGACTTCCTGTCTTGTGAGGAGCTCCTGACTTCAATCCAGAGATACTTTAAACGTAAGACTGATGCACACGTTCTTTGTTCGACCCGTTCTCTGATGAACTGATCTTACCGGCCACGGTGAGGGTCACCAGCGCTCTGATCTCCCCCTGCAGGCTGTTGGAGGCGATGCAGGTGTAGTTCCCGGCGTCGCTGCGGGTCACTTTGGTGAAGTGGAGCTGGCCGCTCCTCTGCTCCACGTGAGGCGGCAGCTCTCCTCCGTCTGCAGGGGGCGAGAGAGATAGAGAGAGAGACAGAGAGGGGGGGGGGGGGGGGTGAGAGAATAAATTGACTTCTCACGGCACACAGATGATGAAGGAAATGATCCATTTGACTTTTTACATTTGACTTGTTTTTAAGTCACTGCATGGTTTAGCCCCCTCTCATTTATCAGAAATGTTAACCCCTTACACCCCAACACGATCACTCAGATTCCTCTGAGCGGTCGTCCCTCGAGCTCAGGTCCAGCACCCCCTCCCAGCTGTGGAATTCAAAGCGCAACTCAAAACCCACCTTTCCTCCCTGGCCTTTGAAATCAGTTAAAACATGAATATGGCGGCTCTCCCGGTCAGCAAGCCGCCATCATCACGTCAGACCCCTCCCACCCCTCCCACCACTGTTCCCTTCTGGTCGGAGGCTCCAGAGGATCTGTGCAAAGTCTGCCTGTTCGGCCCCCCCCCCTTTATCAAACATCCTGAGAGGGTGCAGACGAGTACACACACCTGCACTCTCTCTAAGCTGCTGCGAAGGCCTTATCGCACTTCTTCAGGCACTAACACACTTCATGCACCAGAACTTTCTTTACATTTGATTATTATTATGATTCTGTTTCATACTCTGCTCTTACACATCACTGGTTCTTCACTGGTCTGTGTTTTTCTTGCCATCATGTGCTCGGTTTTTTAACTGTCTATAGCTTCCCGTCTCTGTCTCATGAATACATCTCAGTTTGTTTATCTCACTCCCCTGTAAGCTGACATCTTGAATGGTTAGGAGGTCGACTACACGGATTACACCGGACACTTGGAGTAGAAAACTTTAGACAACATTCAGTAAATTTACACTTTGAGATTTAAATCTTTAACTCTAAGAAGTTGGAAAGAACCTCTAACCCTGACATGCACAAATACAGAGAGAACAAGTGATGGTGAAAAAGTGAAAATATTCAACAAAGACTGAACTGAAAGAATGTCGTGTGAGGAACAATGGGTCTGTTTGAGTTGGATTATGTCCAAAGGCAGATACATCAACCTGTCATGCCTCTGATGGACAGGTGCAGTAGGTTCAGTATGTTAGTGATGTTAAGGTGAACTCATCATATCTGCTGCGTCACTGTAACAAGTCTATTCCTGTCCCCCCCCCCCTCGTTTCTGTAAGATTTCTGTTTGATTGATGTTTTTGTTTTTTATTCATGTTTAAAACTCAACATCTTGATAAAAGTCAGCGCTGTGTTCACCTGCTGTGGTCCAGCGGATGGTGGGGGGCTCTCTGCCTTTGGCCGAGCACTGGATGGTGATGTCGTTGTCGAGCTCCAAGCACTGAGAGGGCTGAGGGGTCGGCGTGAACTTCAGCTTCTCTGAAAGTTCAAAACACACACAAAAACAGAGAACATGTCAGAGCCTCTTTGTGCAGCTCAACCTGCAGATGAGATGACGCTAAGCGGCCGCATTCATGTTGGGACACATTCAGGGAGAAGTGTGTGCACGTACGTGTGTGTGTGTGTGTGTGTGTGTGTGTGTGTGTGTGTGTGTGTGTGTGTGTCTATCAGAGCTTCAGATCACACAAACAGAGATGTCAGGCGTCTATCACAGAGTTAATCACGGAGATAAAATGTGTTTTAATAAAGCTGCCCGCTGTGAGTCGTACTTCCTGCAGACACAATATGCACACGCTAATGCTATTTAAGGAAACCCACACGCACACAGACATGACCTCTTTTGTTTTTTATTTTCTCTCAGTGCTCTTTACCATCACAAGGAGTGTGAGTCACTTCATGTGTAATTGTTGTTGACTGTCGTTTACTTAAGGTCCTGACACACCAAGCAGACGGCAAAGAACTAGTGACGACGAAGGCCACTTGTGGCGTCGGCTCACGTCATGGCCAAAAGGTTGCACTTGAACACACCGCAAAGACTACAGCCGACGGCCAACCACCACGTACGCTCTGCTCATGTGTGAGAGGAAATAACTCTCCATGCCAGCAGGGGGCGGTGGTCTGTTGTTATGATACGAGAAGACCATTTTCACACCGCTCTCGGTCACCACTCGTATTATAGGTAGTCTACTAATGGAGAATAATGTCTGATAAAAAGTTGAAAATGGCGCTGGTGTTGTCAGCTCTTGGTCTTTTAGTGGAAAAAGAAAAGAAGAGGCAGAGGAGACAAACAAGGAGAAACCGCACTAATGGGTGAAAGCATGGATACTACAGCGACATGCTCAAGGGGCTTTACAGAACCTGTGACGAGAGCTGGAGAGAAATGAAACCTCCCAACAGCCAATCAGAGAGATTCCTCTCACCGACTGTTGATTGAACATGTCCAATCGGCCCAAAAAAGGCAAACGGGGGCCGATCTTCTCAATGTGTCAGGACCTTTAGTATTTAGTGAGCTGTTTATATGCCCCTCTTGGCCAGGACACTCTTAATTCTTAATCTCAATGAGATTCTCCTGGTTTAATACATTAAAAAAAATAAAAAATACTAATAATAAAAAAATAAAAATCTGCTCGCTCACATTGCGGTTCTGATGACATCATGATTTATTGTGCAGCAAACTTACCCAGAACAGTAACTCTGGCGTGCCCACTGAGTCTCCCGGCTGCAGTTAGCGTCTCACAGCTGTACATCTGTCCGTCATACACCTCCACGTTATTGATCCTGAGGCTGCCGTTAGGAAACAGCTTAAAGCGAGAGTCCTGCAAATAGAGAGAGAGAGAGAGAGAGAGAGAGAGCATCATTTAGACGAGGTTCATCTGTAACATGAAGACAAAGTGTTTATCATTATTAACTCTGTATGTGATATGTGACCTCTGCTGTGACCACCATGCTGTTGCGGTACCAGGTGACCTCAGGTTCGGGGTTGGCCTGAGCGTGGCAGTGAAGGAAACCGGGTTTCCCCTCCTCTAACAGGCTGTCCTGAGGCCTCGTCACCCACACCGGGGCCGCTGTGGACACACGAGCACAAAGAAGAGAGTTCATTAAAGAGCACACGGACAGACTTCACCAGAGAGGGCGTTCAGGAGACGCTCAGCAGCTACAGGAAGAAGAGGAGACATCCTGATTTACCGTCAGTATGCTCGTTATGCACCAAATCCAACATCACACACCCTACAGCTGCCTAGAGATTATGTACGTTTGTGAAGTTATCTTCTAAGAATGATTTCAAACGGGATTCATTAAACGACAGTCGACTACAGTAAGACCGCGGCGTCCCCTCGCCGCCATCATCCTGTACCTGATGTTCTGGTGTCGTCAACAAATCCAGAAAGTGACGACACGACTTAAAAAAGTTGAAACTTTTCTGAATGAAAGCTCTGCACGCTACAGTTGTTAGTGAAGCAGATTTAAACCGGATCATGAAGTCTTCCGTTTTTAAGGTTCACTCACTGGCCACAGTGAAGGTGACCTCCTGAGTCCTGCGCCCCGCCTTGTTCTGAGCCACACAGGTGTAGATCCCCGAGTCTTCCCCCTCTGTGGGACTGAAGACCAGGTCCAGATCGTCCTGGTACACCCGGCCCTCCGCGGGGACTCGCTGTCCTTCTCGTTCCCACCACACTTCGGGTTCGGGTCTGCCGCGCGGGGGCCGACACGCCACCCGCTGCAGGGTGTCCGCCGTGAATACCTTCGACATTCTGGGCACCATGTCTTCGATTTCTGGAGAAGAAGAAGAGATTTAAACACCAACATCTATTCACATGGCGGCCATTTTCCTCTGACGCCACTCTGAAGGGAGCTCAAATGCTACGTTTTCTTTTTTAAAGATTTATTTTTGGGCTTTTTGTGCCTTTAATGGAGAGATAGAACAGTGGATAGAGCTGGAAATCAGGGAGAGAGAGAGAGAGAGAGAGAGAGAGAGAGAGAGAGAGAGAGAGAGAGAGAGAGGGGAAGGACCTGCGGGAAAGAAGCCACAGGTGGGATTCGAACCTGGGGCCCGCTTGGAGGACTACAGCCTCTGTGCATAGGGTGCGCGCATTAACCACTGTTCCACCAGCGCCCCCTCAAATGCTACTTTAATACCACTCGTTCGTTTACTTCAGAGCCGCAGACTTCCTGTCAGGTCCGGGGTCGTCGTCTGATTTAAGCGCAGTAATGAGGGAACAAAACGAACAGTAGTAGGACGCCATTTAAATGTTTGGTGAGAATTAACGGAGCCTGTGTGCGGTGGCTCATATCAAAACTGGCAGCCCTGATACACAAAGTGGAACTTGATCTGTGGGACTCACAAGACCTCCCACTACTGAGCGGTTTATCACTCTGTGATGTGTGTGTGTGTGTGTGTGTGTGTGTGTGTGTGTGTGTGTGTGTGTGTGTGTGTGTGTCGAAGTCATTAATACACTATTGGCCAACAAGGCTGTGAAAGCCGGTCAGTGGTGAAGACCTTCTCCGACTTCAGGATCTAAATCAATTAAGGCGAGCAGCAGAAAATCTCATTTCTCAGCAGATGAAAGCGGAGCGAGGAGCGGTTCAACTTGTCCCTTCACACTGAGTTCTGCTGCCACACAATCCCCCATAATGCCTGCAGGGATTAGCATCAGATTAAGTGAATTAAGGTATTTAAATGGAGCTGTGGTTCACTGGGTTAAAACTGCAGATACAGCCCAACCTCGTTAATCCTGAACCCGGGGAGGGGGGGGAAGACCAATAAAGACCCCGGGACACGGAAACGAATCGAGATTCCAGCGCTAAGCTTCGTCAACATATTTGACTTGCATGCACTTGCATTTGAAAATGCAGGCTGATTAGTAAGATGAGAAGATACTACAGCCTGTTCCTGCTCTAAGCTCCGGCCTCCATTCACAAAGCTGTGACGGGGATTTTCTGTTGATCCACAGTCACGATTAGACGGGATGAGAGACGTCACTCCACGTCACTTTCAAGTGCATAAGTACAAAAACTCATTTCTTGTCATGTTTCAGAAACTAAATGCACAAAGTAAGAATAACAGTTTTAAAGGTCTGAAGTTTTTATCTCGTATTAAAGAAGATTAAACGTCTAAACTAGAGAACATGACTACCGTAAACTTTCTGACTGCGGTTGTCTTTGGTCCATTTTTGCCTTTTTAGAAAGGACAGCTGAAGAGATGAGAGAGAGAGAGAGAGAGAGAGAGAGAGAGAGAGAGAGAGAGAGAGAGAGAGAGAGAGGGGGATGACATCCAGCAAAGGGCTGGAGGTCGAATAAGAACCACGGCCGCAGGGTGCAGGTGGCTGAGTGGTTAGTGGGCGCACCCCATGTATGGAGGCTATAGTTCTCCAAGCGGGTGGCCCAGGTTCGATTCCCGCCTGTGGCTCCTTACCTGCATGTCATTCCCCTCTCTCTCTCTCTCTGATTTCAGACTCTATCCACTGTCCTATCTCTCCATTAAAGGCACAAAAAGCCCAAATACAAATCTTTAAAAAAAAAGAAAGCACGGCCGCTGCAAAGAGGACGAGCGTCTCTGTAAGCCGAGGAGAGGTGAGCGATATGAAGCGATGAAGGTCGTGGTCGTAGTACAGGTGAGAATTTAAAACAATGTCAGGCCCTCACTGCAATCTGTCTTAAAGGTCTCGGTCTCGCCTCTGAATCGAGAAGCATTTTTACTCTGTCTTGTCTCGGTCTCAGACAGGGCGGACTCTTGATTTGAAATCTAGACCACCTCTGATCTGCAGTTTTTCCGAGTCATCACTGTGATAATAAGGAAAACTGATTTTTCTCCACCAGTTACAGCCTCAACCCTCCCCTTGTTACGATCTGAGTGAGTGACATGCCCCCTAAAAACCAGATGATGATTCTTCAGAGATATTCTTGGTCTTGGTCTTGTCTCAGTCTCGGAGCGCTCTGGTCTCGATTAGTTTGGTCTTCTTGACTACAACATTACTGACTATATCTGATTGTTATTATTAAATCAAAAACACATTTTACTCATGTGAGGGTTTCATCAGCTGCCCGTAATTCTACTCATGTTGTGTTAAAGTCACAGAGAGAGGACGAATGACATGAAGCATTCACGGCCTCTTAAAACGCTGTGCTCGTCCATTTAAGTCATATATATATATATATATATGTGTGTTTTATAAAAGAGCAGGTCGAGCTTTAGAGGAAGGTGGAGCACGCTCTGCAAACAGCTGCGGACTGATGGAGGAAACAACGCTGACAGGAAGCAGGAAAAAGCTCTGTCGGTGTGTGTGTGTGTGTGTGTGTGTGTGTGTGTGTGTGTGTGTGTGTGTGTGTGTGTGTGTGTGTGTGTGTGTGTGTGTGTGTGTGTGTGTGTGTGGTGGATACAGCTGGGCCGGATGTCAATAAAGGAATGTGATTATCATGAACAGATCTGCCTCTGAATGAAAGAGACGCAGGGAGGGAGAGCCGAGTGAGATCTAAAGCTCAGATTACAGAATCACAGGTGTTTACCTCCAAACAGGTCAACAACTGACCATGTGTGTGTTTGTTTGTGTGTGTACCTGCGATGAGGAGGGAGGCTTCCAGCGTGACCTGAACCCCGCTGACGCCGCGGCCGACACATCTGTAGGTCCCCGTGTTCCGGGGTTTGACCTGAGTGATGAGCAGCGAGCCGTTTGACATCAGGATCACCCTGAGGAGGAGAGACAGATCACAGAGTTAGTTTGCCAACACTTCTAATCACTCCGTCTCACAGGACTCAGGTCTCACATCGTGTCATCAACAACCAGCTCGCCGTCAGATGGCGTTCCACATACAGAAACACTTAAAATTAAAAGCCTGCAAGGTGAAAGGATGCACTCTTAAGGAGCGTGATTTCATCTCTGAAAATACGTTGTAACCTTTGTTTGGGTCTAGAGATGCTCTGCCATGAAGGAGAGTTAATCCCAGAAAATGAAGTCTCTTTTCACATGGACCTACTTTCTTTGAGCTTGGCACGCTACCTGACGCTGTCCACATGGCCCTGATTCACTGGAGCCATCTGCTGCTCCAAATAGGTTGGAGTAAATGCTAAGAGTTTGTCCACAGAACACAGAAAAGTGACCTACTTGGTGACTTAATTTGAAAAAAGTCTTGTGCTCCTGGCAGGCTGCAGGGAGAGTCAGAGCCAGAGACGGGCAGGACGACGAGTAATTAAGGGCTGACCTTAAGGCAGCTACAGCGACGACGGAGAAGGAGGCGCACCGCTCACAGAGACGGGACAGAGACTCTGCAGCACATCACGACTTCACATCAGAGTCATTTTGTGAGGAAGAGGAAAGGGAGCAAGAAATGCAGAGAGAAATAAGAAACGGAAACGATGGATGATGTTTTGTTCCCAATCAGCAACATCCAGAAAAATTATTCAAACTCTGAAAGACTGCAGCTCCTCCAGTGTCCACTAGAGTCTGTCTCCTGCAGTGAGTCAGTCCCCATAGAGCTCCATGTTAAAATGTTCACTTTACAGCTGATTATATCCTGCTGCGTTCTCACATCAGCTCACTCTGACTTTCTGCAGAATTAATACGAGGAGGCTGGAGGAGAAACTCCGGGTGAAGTCAGAGTAAAAACATTTGGCTGTTTGCGTTCACACATGCAGCTCCTCCTGTGAATATCAGGAGTGTTTGAGGAGTTTTCTGCAGGTGTGAATTAACGTTTTTCGTTCATACAGTCTACGATAATTTCCTGAGGAGATTTTCCCAAAGCAGGACTGTCTCTGTATCACATTCCCTCCTGATGTTTGATTTATCTGTGTCATCTCTTCTTCTCTGCTCAGCAGTAGAAATGAGCTTTGGGAGCTTGTGAACGTCTCCACCTGAGAGATGGAGAACAAGTCTGAGGAAGATTACTTCACTCCGAGGACACTCAAATAACCACAAAGCTAAATGAACAAAGGCAGATTTATTTTTAGGAATCCTCTTTAGTGATTCAGACAGAATTGGCTCAGTTTTAGATTTTTGCCTCCCGAGTCGGTCTGACCCGAGGGACGGAATCACGTTGAGCTCCTTCTGGTGTGTTTTCTTTTAGTTCCACACGTATAAAAAACCCCCATCAAACATTAACACATTATCTAAAGGGGGGGGGGGGGGGTCTACAGTGAGAGGACGCTGGAAACAGGCGAGCTGCATCCCCATCAGCTCTGATCCATAAACACACAGAACGCTGAAAAACAGCCAGTGTGTGTGTGTGTGTGTGTGTGTGTATTTCTATTCAAGCTTTTAAGCAGTCTCTCTGTGATCGTGTTGCTGAGTCAGCACAGCCGAGGTGACCGAACATGCCTCTGACATGCTCGTTACACATGACGTTGTTTATGTTTATATTAAAGCTCCACACATCAATAAACACTTTTAATTTAACACAATGCCTAGTTTGAGCACGTTTCTGCTCGTGGAGCTTATTAGAAACATGCAGAGGCTTTTTAGGTCGAGTACAATCACTTCTATCTGAACCACTTCTCTTGCCCGCTGATAACTGCTCTCATATCTGGCAAACAGAAGGGTGTCTAAAACGGCCGTGTGGGGGTGTCTTAAAACCGCCTACCTTCTCTGGTCCAAACAAATCCAGAGCATTCAGGGGCAGAATCTGTTGTCAGAGAAGCCAGCACTTCAACATAACATGTTTCCTTAATGTCTGATCATATAGTAAGATACTTTATCACTTTATCACATCTCACTGATTGGACCTTTAAAAACATTTATAATCATTGTCTTTATTTGCAGAACATTGTCATGTGTCTGTTTATATTTCAGTTTCTGCTGTGAAACAGAGGGATGCTAATATTCTGTAATCTGTTGGAGTGGAATAGTTACATCAGCATCTTTTATATAAATCAATGTTGACATTAAATAAAGCATGTTCAGTAGAAACGTGTGTGAACCCGGAGGCCGCGCTCGGCTCTCTGTAAAGAAATGACCTATTATTCTGGTGTGTGTGCGTTTATGGGGACACGCTGCTGAGATGATTGTAGCTGGAGGGGAGACCAGGGAGGTTAGGCCCCGTGTGAGAGCTGCAGCGCCCTCTGTGATTGGCTGAGAGAAACATGTGATTGTGTGATGAACAGCAGAAACTTTGCAGTGTTCAGTTCCAGTAATGATATTCCTGATGTGCAATCCGTCTAGAGGCTGTAACAGGATACAGAGAGCAGAGAGACGGACCAGCTGGAGCCTTTTATAAAGTGCATTATATATTTATACTGAATGCAAACAGCACTCCAGATAAAGCCAGAGATAACACAACAACGCTACAAAGCTGCATCAAACCGCTGGAACACTCTGCGTACAAACAAACACCAAAGACAAATAATGAAAACAGCAGTAAAGACGGAGATGAGAAGTCAGAGAGAAACTCTTCAGATGCATGATGGCGTCTAAACATACCGAGACTTGTTAACCAGCAGCTCTTTCTCGTGGTACCACTCCAGCGTGGGGGCGGGCACGGCGGTGAACTGGCAGTGAAACGCCGCCTCCTCGTTCCTCAGCACCACCTGGTCCTCTGGAGCGACCACCTGCCGAGGAAAACTCTTATCTGAAAGAGACGGGGAGAAAAAAAAAAGACACTGAAATGATCTGCTCTGGACTTTATTAAAACCTGCCAACAGCAGCAGGACGACTTCAGGTGTGTGTGTGTGTGTGTGTGTGTGTGTGTGTGTGTGTGTGTGTGTGTGTGTGTGTGTGTGTGTGTGTGTGTGTACACTTCAGGAGCCTCTGGAGACTTAATGAGGTCAGTGAACAGAACCTGCAGATCATCTGGACCCTCATCTTCCTTTTTTTTCACCTGCTGCTCATAAAACCTCACAGAGAAGATCATCAGAGGGGGGGGGGGGGGGTCTCCTGAGGCAAGAGGTACCGTAACATAAAAACAAAAAAGTGGAAGTAACAGACAAAGCAGCGGAGTCCTCTACATGAAGCTATGATGAGAATATGTGTCTTTCTATCAATGCTGTGTAGTTGAAGAGAATCTCAATGTGAACTAAAGAGTGGAGAAGAACATTCTGGAGAACAGGAAACATAATGCAGCAGGTTCATTAGAGCACAGAGATGGTAGAGGTGGCGTGCAGACAGTCTATGGTCGTGCAGTGATCACAGGGAATAAACGTCACCACCCCCTCCCACTCGCTCCAGGTGAATTCTCCTGATTATATCCTGCTGCGTTCTCACATCAGCTCACTCTGACTTTCTGCAGAATAAATACGAGGAGGCTGGAGGAGAAACTCCGGGTGAAGAGAGAAACATTCAGATGTTTGTGTTCAGACATGACGCTGAATTGGAGATATCAGGAGGTTTTGTGCAGGTGTGAACAAGACTTTAGATTTTTTTCCAGCCAGTAGCAGCAGGATTATTTAAACATTTTCACATTACCTCATAATGCCTGAACTGCCCCCCCCCTCCTAATACTCTGACCTGCCAGAAGCAGAGATTTGGAACAGTAAAGCCTCATCACATAGTTTTACTTTAAATACAAATCTGAGGGTGTTGAGCTCGTTACAGGAACATGAAAACACCTCTAATCCGGGTGTATTGTGTGAACAAATCTAAACAGCTCACCGAGGTGAACGCTGCCAGCAGCACTATGCTTGCTGAATGGTGTGAAGAAGAAAAGGAAGGTGTGCACTCAGAGCCCACCTGGCCCACCCAGGACGTGTGTGTGACCCCTCCTCTTAAAGAGCCATGACCGTGAAGTGAAATCCCTTTAAATCTGTCAGCTTCTCCTGCAGGTGAAGCCGCTCAGAAGAGCCCAGGGTGGCAACACGGTAACTGGAAACTCAAACAATTACCCATTCTTCCTGCAGCCAGGTGCTAAGCTAGCGTGACTGCGTGTGTGTGTGTTGCAGGTGGCTAATTAGAGTGGAACAGGGCATCAGGTTTCTTGCACAGATGTTCTGCTGTATGTACAGTACCCGCTCTGTGGGGAGAAATACACAGGAGAGAAGTCCAACATAAATCATGTTGAGAGCCTGCAGAACAACATGTCCAGTTGAAAACACAGAAACATCCTGTTAGCTCCACACATCAACCGGAGGAGGAGAGAGGAAAGGGTTAATACCCAGGCTCTCTTTGTTTTAGCTCGATTCATCAAAACTGAAGTCCCATCAGAGATAACTGGTTTAATGAAGGTGGTGATGAACTTCTCTGTGTGCAGGTTTTCATCTTCAGGCTCCGTGCACACTCACAGGAAACGGGGCATCATGTCATTCTGAAGTCTGGCGTGCACTGTATGGTTGTAGAAAAGTGGCGGTGGAATGTCAGCTCACTCGTTTGAATGACTGAATCGTTTACGACGTGCTACCAAAGCTCCAGATTTACAAGCTCACACTGAATGACCTGATTGTCAAACACGGCCTGAGAGCTCACTCTGCAAGAGTGAAATCAGGACAGAGCGTTCACAGCTGTGAACAGAAAACTCCCAAAGATGCAGGTTGAAGTCAGGTTTATGTGTGTTTCAGTTTTCTCATGTGCACGACTCAAATCCACGCAAGTACAAACTCTCTCTCTCTCTCTCTCTCATAATCTGCATGGCCAACAAACACAAGCCAAAGAGCAGCTGAATCAAAACAAATATTCCCTCTCAGCAGGAGGTCTGCACAGAAACGGCTCTGCCAAAGTTTCTTTCACAATAGGAGGGGGAAAATGAAATTTAATTCCTGCTGTTGCCATGGTGATTTCAGAATCTGTCCAACACTTTGTGCAGGTTAAAATCAGAAAGAGATAGCCCTGAAGACGTGGAATCTTCTCGAGGTTCTGCTCACACTGAGCGAGTGTGTGCATTCAGAGAATCATCTGACCGGTCAGGAGCAGCTGGTCGGGCCGTGATCCGCCGCCGTGCCTTAGAGTGTATAGCACGACCAACAATGAGCGATCAGATCATTAAAACTGACTTCAAAATCAGTGTGTGCCTCAAAAATCGGGTCTAAATGGGGCTGCACACTTATAGATATACTCGCCTTCTTCAGTCAGACTCTGATGATGAACAACACAGGAAGTGAACATTTTAGAAATCAGAACTGTAAAGTAAATAATAAAGCAAAAGACTGCAGAAATACCACCAACGTACACCTTCAATTTAAGTATTCATTCAACCAATCAATGCTCTCCAAGCTTCTCCCTTACATTTCTAACCGCACATCCTAACGCTCTTCAATCAAAAACATAATCTCTAAACACATGACGGTCATCACCGCCCTGTAGGGAAGGCCACATCATGCACCAAAGATAGTTTGACATTTTGTTAATTTGATTCTGTTTTATATTAAGTTTCTGGACTGTGGGACCACAGCTGCTTTATTTGTTTCACATTTTTGAAATCTACCTCTAAACACACAAAAATCTTTATGTTTATAAACCTGCTCGTCTATAAGCATCGACCTGATCCCGACCGAGGCTAAATAAATGTAATAAAGACGTGAGCGGTCCGTCTCTTTGTAGTGAACCTCTCTGATGTTGTTTTTTGTCGGAGCGCTGGATGTTGATGATGTTGTTGTTTCTGTCTGCGTGTGATGGAGGAGGAAAGAGGTGCTAACACACTCTCAGGTAATTACATCAGGGACAAACTCACATCCTCTTCCTGCTCTCTCACCACTAATGGTACTCACACCTCCTCCTCCTCCTCCTCAGCAACCTCTATCCTCCGCCACCTACAGCATATCCTCCTCCCCCTCCTCTATATCCTCCTCCTCTAACCTCCTCTCTCCTCCTCCTCCTGACACGAGGAAATGTGGAAAATTGTCTTCAAGCTAAAAAGACTGATCTGATCTGTTGTCTCCGGCTTTTGACACTTTGTTTCCATGGTTACACACATACACACACCTATGATGTTGAGGGTGAAGTTGCTGTTGCTGCAGACGTGTCCGGCTGCGTTCTTGGCGCAGCAGTAGTAGAGGCCGTTATCGTCCGGGCTGGCGCTCCTGATGGTCAGCGTCCTCTCCTTGTTGTTGATCTGATGGCTCTTCTCTGTCAGCTTCATGCCGTCTTTAAACCACTGACACGTCGGCCTGAGAGATACAAAGGTCAGGACACAGGGGAAGAAGAAGAAGGGCATGAGAGAGGCCAACAGTCAGCTTCCTGATCGCTCTGAGCGGGAGGACATGTGGGGGGGAGACTCACCGTGGGTGTCCATCGATGTGACAGCGCAGCGTGACGGGCGCCGAGCTCTCGATCTCGCCCTCTGACGCCGGCTCCTTCAGAGTCACACCGCCGCTCTCTAACCCTGCAGAGGAACAAAAACAAAGGAGAGCGTGAGGAGGGAGGGAGCACCGGAGGACAGGAGAGAGAGAGAGACGGACAGGAGGAGAAATTGAGTTAAGTGGTCGTTCTGTCGTCCGTCCTCTCGGGGGTGACGGCAGAGTCACATGGCCGTGACTCAGGAATGCAGAGAGAAACCACATCACTACTCTGTCCTGCTCTCTGAATGCTTTTATAGACATCTAATGGACACTTCATTGACTTTCTCTGCTCAAAGACTCTTGCAAAAATCAAGTCAAGTCGCCTTATTTATATAGAACAAAAGAAAGCAGCAGGAGGTGACCCGGAGTGCTTTACAGTTCATGCAGACGGAGGAGAATCTGCAATACATGTTGCAGGATTAAAGGCATGATGCAATAAAAAGCAACAAAACATACAACTCTGAACATGATGGAATCTAAGGAATAAAAAAGAAAGTGAGGAGCAGTAAAGGTGAGAGGAAACTGCAGAAAAAAAGCTGCCCCCTCCATCTTTTCTTTCATGTTTCCCCCAATACATGAAGAAGTTCCTTGATTGACACCGTACATTTGTCAGTAACGCAGCGACCGTGTGCCGCGCTGGAATTCCCCTCCTCTGCTGCGTGTCGACACTAAATAGAACCAGGGCTAATGTTATACATGTGATGACATATTAGCTGTGGTTGTCTGACATGATTTACAGGGCGGTTGCTGTG